CGGTCCAGAAGAGAGTCTGAGCAGCAGGATTCACTGATCTTAGATTGAACTGATAAATAGTAACTACTTCCCTGGGAAGGGATTTCTTCACCAGCATAAATTCTTTTCCAGAAGAGTTCGCCATGCCACAGGCAAATATCTATCTGCTGGACCTGCCACAGCAGCCTTCCAGATATGCTCAAATCTGTCTTGTTTCTCGGAACCACACGGATTAGTCTACTGACCTCAGATGGCATCCCCTATAGATGTGTCAGAAATAGATCTCAAAGTTTGACAGGAGGTGGAATTGCAAACTAATACAGCCTTTTTGGAAAGATGGATGGAGAATCCTCAAAGAACACAAAATAGATCTTCCATTTGACCCCACAATGCCATTACTAGCCATCTACCCAGAAGAAAAAAATAATCATTTAATCATAAGGACATTTGCACTAGACTGTTTATCACAGCTCAGTTTACAATTAGCAAGATATGGAATAAACTTACATGCCCATCAACCCACAAATGGATTAATAAAATGTGGTATATGCATATCATGGAATATTATTCAGACGGAAAAAAGATAGAGACTTTACATTTTTTGTATTAACCTGGATAGAGTTGGAGAACATTCTTGTTAGTAAAGTATCACAGGAATGGAAAATCAAGTATCCAATGTACTCAATATTAATATGAAGCCAGTAGACAAACTAATACATGCCCATGCAGTAGAAAAACTAAATTTAATTCAAGTTGGGTGGAGGAGGGATGGAGGAAGAAGGAATTGCCCACCTAATGGGCACAATGTAAGGATATATGGCACACCTCCTGGGTGAGGGGAACAAGTACAATGAAGACCTTACCTAACAAATGCAAACATTGTAACCTAATTATTTGTACTCTCATATTAATCTAAAATTTAAAAAGGAAAAAAGGTTTTCAAGAGGAGAAGGCAACAGTATCATTACAGCTACCTATAAGATAAGCTTAGTCCAAGGCACTTCAAATGCATTTTCTCTAGCCCACTCAACAGTTTTCAATAGTACCGTTGCTCCTATTATATAGGTTAGGAAAGTTTTTCTTCATTCAAGTTAGGGTCCTTCATTCAGCAAGTACTTATAGAGCACTCACAGCATGCTAAACACTGTTCTAGGCACAAGAGATGAATTGGTTACAAATATAAGCAAAGATCCCCACCTCCGTGGGGGATACATGATGGGGGGGGGGACTGATGACAATTAGCATAATAATGAAATGAAATATGTATGTTAGAAAGTGACTAGTTCTATGAAACTTCAGAAAGGTTTCAATTTAGCAAGTGTATCTTGAGCATCTCTTAAATGCCAGGCCCCGGGATTGATATCAAGAACATAAAAGTGGCACACCTATATGATGTTTACCAGCTAGTGAGGCCATGAAGTGGTAGAACTAGAAGTTAACACCAGTGCTGACATCACTATGGAGACCATCTGAAGCTTCTATTTTTCTTTAAACACTCAGGAAAAGAATTTCCTTTTATCTGAAGCCTTCCTTGGGCCCTCCTTTCACCCCCAAATTATTGCTCACTTCTCCCACTGCCACTGGTCTACAGAACCCTGTGTTGCCCTTTGTCTCCTGGTGCTTTGTTGATTTATCTCTTCTCTAAGAGCTCTCTGAAACCAGGAATTGTACTGGTAATATTTAGATCCCTCTTCCAAGGATTTTGATCATCTGTAAATGACAGAAAACCTGATGAAACAGTGGCATAAGCATATTTGAATTTTTTTTTTTCTCATGCAACAAGATGTCTGGAGGAGGTGGGGTGCTGGTGGTTGTTGGTTCATTGCCTCAAGGATGTCATGGTTGAAGCACGGCTGCTATGCTGCAGCATTCCTACCCCTCTACGAGCAGGGAGGGTGGCCAGCTCCTAGGGCTAGAAAGCAAAACTTTCTCACACTCCTGGTAGACTTCCACATTTGTCTTCCTGGATGGAACTAGGCCACAAGACTACCGGCTAGTTTCAAGTGAGATTGGGAATTTTTTTTTTTTTATTGGACTCATTTTCTGAACAAAATCACTGTTTGCAAATAAGGAAAAAGGGGAAAGTAGATATTGGAAGGTATCTGGCATCATCTGCCTCAATCTTCAATACAAAGCACAGTGCCTAGCACTGAGAAAGCACTTGGTAAATATTGAATGAATGAAGGCAGGAATGAGTGGGTGTATGAGTATGTGACTTCTTGGTCCAAGTCATGTGGTCTGACAATCTTCCTTCCTAACAATTAAAACATAGTTCACTTTTTTGCTAAAATGGTAATAGGGAAAATATCAGTTATCTACCACTTATCATCACGAATGTGTAACTATGTAGGGGTATGTGTATGTGTGTGAGCATGTGCAGAGAAAGAAGGGGATATAAATAAATAGAGCTGTTAATATTTCAAGCAGTAGTTCTTCTTTTTCCTGAAGAGTTACCCTTCCTCTAGTATATTTGGGAAAGAAGGGAAAGTTCCTGGGTTGTCTGTCTGCTGTCCCTAGTTCACATGCCACTGGTTATAGTCCTTTCCATAAAATGCTGCACCTGAGCTTGGCGCACCAGGTAAGGGTTAAACTGGACCAAGCCACACTTTCCTTCCTGCCTTGTCCACACAACCATCACATAGGATTGAATGAATATACTGGATTTGACAAAGGTTTGAGGCGACTCTATTCACTCACTCAACAAATACTTTTCAAGCACCTACTATGGACCAGGCACATACTAGGTGTGAGGGATACAAACCTAAAGAGACTGCCCTGTCTCTTACAAAGCTTAGCATATAGCAAGGGAAAGGATCATTAATCAATACCTGAATTCATCATTTCAATTTGTGATAATGTGCTATGAAGGAAAAGGAAAGGGTGTTTTGAGAGAGAATAACAGAAGGGACAATTTACATGGGGGTGGAAGGAAATGAGAGGGAAGGCCTAACTGAGGAAAGGATACTTCAGGTTCAGACCTGGGGAAATGGATCTAAGTTAAAAAGGGAAAGGCATTCCCTGAAGGAGAACAACTTATAGAAAGGCCCTAAAGTGGAAAATAATTTATTATACTTAAGAAACCAAAAACAGCTGGGGGAGGGGTTGGAGAGAAGAGGATGGCAATCTGCCTCCCAGACACCTGTGCACGCATATAGACGTGTGTGTGCACACACACAAGTTTACATAAATCAGATCATACTATACCTATTGTTTCTAACCTGTTTTGTTTTCACTTCAAAGAGACTTTTTGGCAGCTGACAGAAAAGCTAACTTGTATACACTCCCTACAATAACATTTGTCAATTTATATCACAAAAGAAAAGGAAGAGAGGAAGGCCTGGAATGAGGTCCCCATAAGCACCAACATTAAGGGGTGGACAGATGAAACTCTACAAGGGAGACTGGGAAGGAGCAACCAGAAAGCTGGCAGGCAAAACAGGTATTTATGGTACCCAGGATGCCAAGAAATGAGATTATTAAAGGGAGGGAGAGATCCTCAGCTTCTGATGTTTCAGAGGTCATGAAAGATTAGAACTGAGGTAGCTCCTTCAGGTTAGCAACATAGAGGGTGTGGGTACTAAGGGCACCCACACCATCTATGGTGGTGGACAGAGGCATTGGTGGGAGACAGAGGCCTGGTTTCAGTGGTATGAAGAATGGGAAATGAAAAACTAGAGACTAAGACGGTAGACAACTCATTTTTAAACCACTTGGCTCTGAAGGGAAGAGAGGGTGGAAGAGGATTTGGGGCAAGGCAGGATTCTTTTTATGCGAAGGAATTCATAAGAGGGAGAAGTTGAAGCCAGAAAGACTGTTCCCTAATCAGGGCATGCTCCTGGGTGAAAGAGCTACATGTTATATTTGGTTCAAGGTCAAGAAGAGAGTAAGGGGAAGGGGGAGCCTTGGGATGCCTTGAGATCTAGAATGCGTGGGCAAAGAGACAGTGGTTGGGAAGAAAACGCATTGCTTTGGGAGGCAAAACTGCACCAGAGGTGGCACAGCCTGCTGTGTCTAGCCCCAGGCCAGCTGCAGGCCTAAACCCTATCCACCGGGTTAGTTGTGTCCCCAGGTCCCAGAAACTATCTGGGTTATCTTGGGTGTGACCTCAAACTGTACAACACGTGTGCTGTTTCCATTCTGCAACCAGTACTGTGTCTACCTTCCATAGCAGTAGTTCTCAAATTTAACTTGCCATCAGAATCACCTTGGAGGGCTTGTTAAATCAGATTATTACTACCCACCTATGGAGGGTCTAAGTCTAAGGTGGGGCTGGGGGATTTGTATTTCTAATACGTTTACTTGCTTTTCTTGCCCTCAGTCCACACTCCGACAACTGTTGCCCTAAAGAAAACGATCCTAGAGAATACCCCAGGAAGGTCCTGGAAGAGAACCTCAATGGGCTTTTGTACTTTGAAAACTTGTCAATACTCACGTTTATCTACAGAAGGGCAGCAGCGCACCAGGTGCGTCCTCTGCCCAAGCTGGTACAAGATGACCAAGTGGCGGGTGAGCCCACTAGCACAGTTTGTAGAAAAGGATTAGATACAGGTCCACATCAGTTACATGGGAGAAAGGGAAGGAAATAGGGGAGAACCCGTCAGAGGGGATGCTCCAGGAGCCTCTTTGGGCAGTCACTGAGCTGGACCTGGAAGGCGGAGGAGGGTCCCACGGAGCAGTTTTAAAGATGTTGAACAGCATCCTAACTGGAGGATCACCGCCAGAGAAGAACCCAGCAAGGAGAAACTATGCACAGTTCTGCACATGCGTTCAGCATGCTGCGTGCCTCTCCGAGGGCGCCTGCGCAAAACACCGCACAGTCTTTATCCCTCCGTAGTCTCCTGGCTAAGGCTGACGCAGAGGGTAGGCAATGGTTGAAAAGGCCAAGGCGCTCATCCGCAGCAGCACCGCCCATCGCCGGTAGGGTGCGCTCTATCCAGTGTACGCTCCGCTCTCAGCCAGCCTGCGCCTGCGCAGGGCGTCCCAGGCGCCTCCGTGGACACGCCTGCTCGTTCTCGGGCTAAGATGGCGGCGGCTGCGGTAGCGGCCGCGGCCTTGAGGCGCTGTGGAGCTGCTGCTGCGGCCGCGGGGCTGCGTAGGCGGTAGGTGACGGGCCCGGAGCCCCGAATAGGGTGCCTCTGGGCTTAGCCAAGCGACACCTCGCAGACTCTTTCTCTGGAGGGAGGTAGTGCATCTGATGGAGCCAGTGTGTCTGCCTCCGTCACCACAATTGAGTGTTTTAGCTGTCGGGAGGCTGGCTCGGAGAGACCCGCTATGGAGAGAGATCCGATAAGCTGGTTTTGCATTGTGGGGTCCCTCCAGCCTTTCGAACACATGCATTCCCTCCTTTATTTATTTATTTATTTTTATTTTTTTGCAGTTTTTGGCCGGGCTGGGTTTGAACCAACCACCTCTGGCATGTGGGGCCGGCGCCCTACTCCTTTGAGCCACAGGCGCCGCCCTCCCTCTTTTAAAACACAAACTCAAACTATCACAAAGAAAATAAGGAAATACTTGGTCTCATTCCCTCATTTTCCCTGTGTGGCCCTTGGCCCAGAAAGGGGATGTGACATGTCCAAGGTCACGTCTGAATGGAACTTCTAGGAGAATTTGGACCCCTGCATTACTCTTCCACTCCCTACACCATCACTTAAGTCCACACTGTTTCCTTGCGTTTCCTCCTTTCCTGAGCCTGCCTTTGAGTTTTGCCTTTCAGAGACATCTGTGAACACTGGAAAGAGGGCATATGTAGGTTCATACCCTGATTTTACTTCTGGAGAAAAAGGCCTGCAAAGTTTGACCTCTTGAGTATTTAGAAGTTTTAGGGTTCATGGTGCTCTTGAAGTCTAAACGTATTTCTTAAAAATACTAACTTTGCAGAAGGATTTTGTTAGTTATGCCCTGTCTCCCCTTGTGTGCTTGAGCAGATGTTTTCCTTGAATGATTTGATCCTTTTACTTAAAACAAACAAACAAAAAACTACACCTATCTATGTCAGAATATGCTTCTTGGCCAGATGCTGTGGCTCACACCTGTAATCCCAGCACTTTGGGGGTTGAGGCTGGACTTCTTTTCCCCTCCCCCACCAAATTACCATGGTTGAGGGGGTTGGTGGCTCGGGCCTGTAGTCCCAGCTACTCCTAAGGCTTGAGGCAGGAGGATGCCACCAGGAGTCTGGTGGACAGAGTAAGACTGTCTCAAAAAAAAAAAAAAGGTTTGTTATTTGTTCATTAACTTGCCTTCTCACTGGGGTAAAGGGGTAGGAATACTGGTTATGGAGTGTATTTTCAAATTCCAGAGTATTCATGGGAAGATTTATTTTTTTTTTTTTTTTTTTTTTTTGAGACAGAGCCTCAAGCTATCCCCCTGGGTAGAGTGCTGTGGCATTACAGCTCACAGCAACCTCCAACTCCTGGGCTCAAGCGAGTCTCCTGCCTCCGCCTCCCAAGTAGCTGGGACTACAGGCGCCCGCCACAACGCCCGGCTATTTTTTGGTTGCAGCCATCATTGTTGTTTGGCGGGTCCGGGCTGGGGATTCGAACCCACCACCTTAGGTGTACGTGGCTGGCGCCTTAGCCGGTTGAGCTATAGGCGCCGAGCCGGAAGATTTATTTTTTATTTTCTTTTTTATTGAGACAGAGTCTCACTAAAGTGCTGTGGTGTCATAGTTCACAGCAACCTCACACTCTTGGGCTTAAGTGATTCTCTTTCCTCAGTCTACCAAGTAGCTGGGACTACAGGTGCCTGGCTATTTTTTTGTTGTCCTTGTCATAGTTGTTTGGCAGGCCGAGCCCAGGTTCAAACCCTCCAGCTCCTGTTTATGTGGCTGGCGCCCTAACCACTGAGCTATGGATGCCGAGCCTCATGGGAAAATTTAGGCAGTGAGCTATAGATAAATGTGTTTTCACCCCAAAGATTGATGATCATTCAGTAAGTAATTACTGGGCACTAATTACATAATAATAATCATAATAATAATGGTAGTAGCTAACTTTTGTTGTTGTTGTTGTTGAGACAAGAGTCTCACCGTATTGCCCTTGGTAGAGTGCTGTGGCATCACAGCTCATGGCAACCTCAAACTCTTGAGCTTCAGTGATTCTTTTACCTTAGCCTGTCAAGCAGCTGGGATCACAGGCACTAGCTACAACGCCCAGCTATTTTTTGTTGCCGTTGTCATTGTTGTTTTTAGCTGGCCCAGGTTGGGTTCGAACCTGCCACCCTCAGTGTAGGTGGCTAGCTTTGTAACTATTGTGCTATGGGCACTGAGCCAATAGTAGCTAACTTTCATCGAGCACTTCATGTGTAGCTTGGCATTGGTTTAAGTACTTTACATGGTTTATCTGAAAACCATCATCCCAGTCCTTTTTTTTTGAGACAGAGTCTCATTGTGTCACCCTGGATAGAGTGCTGTGGTGTCACAGCTCACAGCAACCTCCAACTCTTGGGCTTAAGTGATTCTCTTGCCTCCCAAGTAGCTGGGACTACAGGCACCCCCTTGCAATGCCTGGCTATTTTTTTGTTGTCATAGTTGTTGTTGTTTGGCAGGCCCTGGCTAGGTTTTAACCAGCTCTGGTGTATATGTCTGGTGCCTTAGCCACTGAGCTATAGGTGCTGAGCCATCATCCCAGACTTTAGAGGTAGCTGTGAATATTAACCTCATTGTAGACAGGAACTGAGGCCCTGCAGTGCTGGCAGCTGAAGAAAACAGTCTTTCTACTAAATGAATTTGCAGTTTAGTAGGAAAGACATTATTAGCAACTAATGACAAAATCATAAGTGCCATGAAAGTCATTTAATTTCAAGTGATGACAGCTTACTGTGATCAGCTCTGCAGCTAGAGTGGTAGGGCTTCACAGATTCCTTGATTCCCTGTTTGATGTTGTTTCCTCTGTTCTCCCAAATCCTCAGTGACAGTGCATTAATCTCTCTGGTAGCATCTAAGAAACTATGAGTTACAATACCACCATATCCTTGTAAAGTAGTCTTTTGCTTAAAACAAATAACACTTGAAGATGACTAGAGGTTCGAAAAATTGTAGTTAATCTGTATTCCACTTAATTGATACTCAGTCTTTTCTTTGTGACAAGCAGAATTTCAGTTTTGTAAGAGAAAAATGTGGTATAGCCCCTGTCTGTCACTTCTTGCCTATTTTAGGTGGAGTGTAATCAGAGAAATGTTTTTTTTCCTTTCTTTTTATTTTTTATTGAAACAGAGTCTTACTTTGTGGCCCTCAGAAGAGTACCGTGGAGTCATAGCTCACAGCAACCTTCAACTCTTGGGTTTAAGTGATTCTCTTGCCTCAGCCTCCCAAGTAGCTGGGACTACAGGTGCCTGCCAGAATGCCCGGCTTTTTTTTGATAGAGATGGGGTTTCACTCTGGTTCATGCTGGTCTTGAACCTCTGAGCTCAGGGCAGTCCGCCCCCTCGGCCTCCCAGGGTGCTAGGATTACAAACGTGAGCCACCACGACCCAGCCAGAAATGTTTTTTTTTTTTAAGTGATCATATGTATGATTATAAAAGTAACTTTCATGCTTAAAATTCTTCAGTGGTGCCTGGGAAATGACAGTTGTAATGGCTAGTAATAATATTTTAATGTAAGTTGGATTTTATTTATCATTTTATTATTTATTTATTTTGAAATAAGGTCTCTGTTGCCTAGGCTAGAGTACTTTGTGACGTGATCATATCTCAGTGCAGCTTCAAACTCTTGGGCTCAAATGATCCTCCTCCCTTAGCCTCCCAAGTAGCTATAGGGACTATAGGCTCATACCACCATGGCTAAATTTTCTATTTTTATTTATTTATCTATTTATTTATTTAATTTTTGAGACAGAGTCTCACTTTGTCACCCAGACTAGAGTGCTATGGTGTCATAGCTCACAGTAACCTCAAACTCTTAGACTCAAGTGATTCTCTTATGTCAGCCTTCCCAGTAGCTGGAACTACATGTGGCTGCCACAAAACCCAGCTATTTTTAGAGACAGGGTCTCGCTGTTGCTCAGGTTGGTCTTGAACCGGTGAGCTCAGGCAGTCCACCTGCCTCAGCCTCCCAGGAGTGTTAGACTTACAGGTGTGAGCCACAGTGCCCAACCTGATTTGTCTATTTTTAATAGAGACAGGGTCTCACTCTTGCTCAGGCTAGTCTCCAACTACCAGCCTCAGGCAGTCTACCTGCCTTGTTAACCTGAATTTTGAAGTAACTTGGATAAATGTAGGAAACCATGCACTAAGCTTGTAGAAGTGGTAACCGGCTCTTGAGGGAGGTGCTGGGAGGGGAACAATCTTCTAGCTTGCATGGAGATGTTTGGCTGCCCGGAGACAAGCCCTCAAGCAGCTGCATGTGTTACTGAGTTAAGATCCGTTGCTGGTTAGCAAGCAGGTGTTATACATTGGACATTTGTGGTGCAGCAGGGTGGGAGTTGAGCCAGGTGGGAAACAGCACTTAGTGATCATTGTATGATGCTTCAACCGTCGCTTGGGGCTCTCCTTGCAATATCTGAAGCCCCCCTCTTGCACTTATCTGTACCTTTAATTTGTGGTCCTGGCAGTTTTTTTGTTTGTTTGTTTTTTGCAGTTTTTGGCTGGGGCTGGGTTTGAACCTGCCACCTCTGGCTGATGGGGGCAGCACCTACTTCTTTGAGCCACAAGCTCCGCCGAAGAGTTGTTTTTGTTTCTGTTTTTTTTTTTTTTTTGTGGAGACTGAGTCTCATTTTATTGCCCTCAGCAGAGTGCCCTGGCTTCACACAGCTCACAACAACTTCCAATTCCTGGGCTTAGGTGATTCTCTTGCCTCAGCCTCCTGAGTAGCTGGAACTACAGGCACCCGCCACAACACCTGGTTATTTTTTTGTTGCAATTTGGCCAGGGCCGGGTTTGAACCCGCTACCCTTGGTTTATGGAGCTGGCACCCTACCCATTGAGCCACAGGCGCCGCCCTTCCTGGCTGGTTTTATTTGTGTGGCGATGGGGTGCCCACAGTGGGCACTGACAAAATAGCAACGAAGGTGGGATAGTGGCTGTGCACTGACAACTAAAGTTTCCTTTTATTTCATTTTCCAGTAGTATTTGGTCTTTCTCCCTTTGTTTTTACTTTGTCAGATCTATGGAAAATAGCCAATTAGTGCTTCTCCGTTAAGTGTGAAGTAAGCTAGACCCAGTGGCTCATGCCTTTTATCCTAGCACTTTGGCAGCCAAGGTGGGAGGATCATTTGAGGCCACAAGTTTGAGACCAGCGTAAGCAAGCTAACATGACCCTGTCTCTACAAAAATATAGACACATTAAGTTGTGGAGGTGCATGCCTATAGTGCTGTAGGCTGAGGTGGGAGGATTACTTGAGCCCAGGAGTTTGAGGTTGCAATGAGCATGATTGATCACACTACCACACTAGTCCAGGCAGCAGAGCAAGACCCTGGCCCCTTCTCCACCAAACAAAAACAGTGAAAGTTGTAATACTAGGTTAATGTTTTTCCAGTCAGAAAGCTTATAAAGACTGTAGGCTGCTTTAGCAGATTGGGGGACAATAGTTCACTTTCTATTAGTTGTTTTTAAGTATTGAAATACTTTTTTTTGGTGCTCCCTATCATGAAATACTTTTCAAAATGTGATACAGCTTATTTCTACAGAAGGAAACATAGCGGTAGGGTGCAGAAAAAGAGGAAGACTTTATCATATATACTTTTTTCCTTATCATTTTGAACCATGTGACTCTATTATCTAGTTTTAAATTTTTTTCTAGACAATAAAAGCCTATGATATTTACCTCCGTCACGCGTTAACTAAGAGTTTGAGACTCCAGGTCAGTGTTTTCAGCATTATTTAAATCTTAACATTACACTAATCTATAGTTAAATTTCTGTGGCATACTTATGTTAATCAAATAAAAGAGTTAAAAAAAAAAGAATATACTTAACTGTGCTTTGAACTTCTTTCAAAAATAATTTAATTTGTGATCTTTGAAAATTTTTGCAGTGCACCTAAAATCCTCTTGCAGCATCTCGGCACACCAGTGAAATTGACTACTCCAGGTCATAAATTATTATTATTATTATTATTATTTTGAGACAGAGCCTCAAGCTGTCTGCCTGGGTAGAGTGCAGTGGCATCACAGCTCACAGCAACCTCCAACTCCTGGGCTCAAGTGAGTCTCCTGCCTCAGCCTCCCAAGTAGCTGGTACCATAGGCACCTGCCACAATGCCCGGCTATTTTTTGGTTGCAGCCATCATTGTTGTTTCGGCAGGCCTGGGCTGGATTTGAACCGCAACCATAGGTATATTTGACCGGCACCTTAGCCACTTGAGCCACAGGCGCCGAGCCAAATTATTATTTTTTAAAATTTATTTTTTATTTCAAATTAATATGAGGGTATAGATTTTTAGGTTATATCATTCTCACTTCCAGGGTAAAGTTCTAGTTGTAAGAGTCCCTCACCCAGGGGGCGTGTTATACACCCTCACAATGTGCACATTAGGTGAGATCCTGCTTTTACCCTTCTTTCTGCCAGTAGTCCTTCCCTCTACCTCCTGTAACCCCGTACTAGACTATATTTATGTTTTATTGTTCTTATGAGCATAGAATTATTTGTATATTGATTTCATATTATTATGGAGAACATTGGATATTTATTTTTCCATTCTATGTTACATTACTAAGAAGAATGCATTTCAGCTCCCTCCAGGTAAATGTAAAAGATGTAGAGTCTCCATCTTTTTAAATGGCTGAATAGTATTCCATGGTATACATACACCATAGTTTTTGATCCATATGAATGGATCAATGCTAAGTTGCTTCCATGGCTTGGCAATGATGAATTGAGCTTCAGTAAACATTTGGGTGCAGATGTCTTTGTGGTAAAATGATTTTTATTCTTCTGAGTAGATACCTGGTAATGGGAATGCAGGATCAAATGGAAGGTCTACTTTTAGAGCTTTGCGGATTCTCCACACTTCTCTCCAAAAGGGCTGTATTAGTTTGCAATCCTACCAGAAGTGTAGAAGTGTTCCCTTCTCTCCACATCCACATCTGGTGTTTTGTGACTTTGTGATGTGGGCTAATCTTGCTGGGGTTGGTGATATCTTATTAATGTAGATGCAATTCTGTTGCTTATACCTGGATATACATCTGATTATCAAGGCTATGAATTTCCATTTGAGCTTTATCTGATTTTAAATTATTTGTAGATACTGCTTGTTTAAGTAGAAATAATGTAGATGAAAAATGAAAAGTCAACTCTAATTATTTTTATTGCTGTTATGTTTGAGACATGTCTTTAAATATGAGAAGTAGAAACTTAATTTAGAAGATTAGATCTCTTAAAATGTCGTTTATTTGTTTTCAAATGTAGGCTCTGTCTTATGATGAAGAATCCATACCCTATTGAGAAACATCTACATCAATTTGTGCAGAGACCTCTTTTCCCACTACCTACAGCCTTATGTAACAAAGGTAAAGTTTACCTCTTTCACAGTAAATGGTATTTCAGAAACTAATTGAACTGTGCTAAGATTTTGTGGATCAGAAAAGATGAGAATTTTCTACTTAGAACCCTATAAAAAGAATATGGAGAGTATTTTCTATCATAATGCCACACTTTACTGTAGTTATTTGCAAGGAAATTGTTCAGTAGCAATCTCAGTATCTCATATAATACATTTCCTGGAACGCAGAATTGCTCAATAAATGATTTCTGAAGTGAAAATGTCATAAAATGGGTTTATGTTTCAAAGAATCTTATGTATTTTAAATTATTGCTTTTCTTATTTTAGTAAGAATAACCCTAAAATCAATATGTTTCTGGCTTTCATTCAGATCTTGGAACATACTTTTTTTTTTTTTAGAGACAGAATCTCATTATGTTGCCCTTGGTAGAGTGCTGTGGCATCACAGCTCACAGCAACCTCAAATTCTTCGGCTTAAGAGATTATCTTGCCTTAGCCTCCCAAGTAGCTGGGAGTACAGGCATCCTCCGCAATGCCTGGCTTTTTTTTTGCAGTTGTCATTGTTGTTTTAGCTGGCCTGGGCCAGGTTCCAACCCACCAGCCATGGTGTATGTGGCTGGTGCCCTACCCACTGAGGTACGGGTGCTGTCTGGAACATAAGATTTTAAATATATTTTTTTCTTTTTTTTGGTCTAAATTAGTTATTACAGTTTTATTAACAGTCTTGTTGAGATTTTTTGGTCTAAATTAGTTATTACGGTTTTATTAACAGTCTTGTTGAGATACTTTGCCTCTCTATAATATTAGAAATAGTTATGAAGATGGGATTTGAAAATAATTTGAAATGTGCTGAGTGTGGGGCTGTATGCCTATAGTCCCAGTTACTCCTGAGGCTAAGGTGGGAGGATCAGCTAAGCCTAGGAATTTGAGTCTATAGTGAGCTCTGATTCTGCCACTCCACCATAGCCTGGACAGCAGAGCAAGATCCTATCTCAAAAAGAAATAAATACTAAAATGTGACCATTGTAATGTAGTTATAGAAGCTTAGATGTGTCTATGCATGTTCATGTGTGTATGTGTATAAATGTCTTCCTATATGTGGTTATAGAGCTGTTAAGTGTATGGATTCAGCCTATTTGCCTTTCTATCACTACCTTGAATACCTTCTGGTGGCCATACTCTGGAAGGGGCTGACTCTAGCTAACAGCCAAAGTTAAATCAGTGTAGAGACTTTATATCTTCCTTCTGTAGCCTGGGGTAAGAAGAGGAGTGCTTTCCTGCCATCTTGCCTGTTTCCTTGAATTAGAAAATAGTTTACACGTGAGTACATAAATAATGAATAACTCAACAGATCAGACTACTTGAATTGGACTTTTTAAGTTTTGTAATTTAACTGAATTTTGTGGTCATCTGGGCTTTTCACTTTGGAAATCCACCGATTTTGTCATTGATCCTGACTTTAGGCAGTACTAATCTATATTTTGGAGGATTTTATGCCTACTTAGGTACCTATTAATACCAACCCTAACAGAGAAAGATATTTAATGTAAGTCTTTCTATCCTTTTGTAACCTGACACTTTCAGGAGCATCTTTCTGGATGATGGACCTGGGAGTCTCTTTAAAAATAACTAATTAAATCCAATTTAGGGTATAATTAGAATGATCTTGTTAAATACCTTTTCAAATTTGTTTTTTGAATAGCTCTATTTATTGTCAAAAGAGAAACATTGTGTGGTGGTGGTGTCATACATTTTCATAATTTCTATAGCATATAGATTATATGCTCTTTTTTTTTTTTGAGACGGAGCCTCAAGCTATCCCCCTGGGTAGAGTGCCATGGCATCACACTCACAGCAACCTCCAACTCCTAGGCTCAAGCGAGTCTCCTGCCTCTGCCTCCCAAGTAGCTGGAACTACAGGCGCCCGCCACAACGCCTGGCCATTTTTTGGTTGCAGCCATCATTGTTGTTTGGCGGGCCCGGGCTGGGGATTTGAACCCGCCACCTTAGGTGTATGTGGCTGGCGCCTTAGCCACTTGAGCCATAGGCGCCGAGCCCAGATTATATGCTCTTAAGTGACTTTTTAAAAAGCATTATGACAGCCAGGTGCAGTAGCTCACACCTGTAATCCTACCATTCTGGTAGGCTGAAGAAGGTGGATTGTTTGAGCTCAGGAGTTCAAGACTAGCCTGAGCAAGAGTAAGAACCCATCTCTAAAAAAGATACCCAGGCATTGTGGCGGGCACCTGTAGTCCCTGCTACTCAGGAAGCTGAGACAAGAGAATCACTTGAGCCCATGAGTTTGAGGTTGCTGTGAGCTGTGATGCCACTGTACTCTACTGAGGGTGACAAAGTAAGACTCTGTCTCTAAAAAAAAAAAAAAACAATAGGGGAATGAGTGAGGGAGCAGGGAGAGGAGAGGAGGGGAGGTGAGAAGGGGTTGGGGAAGGTCACAGTGTATGGCACACCTCCTGGGGGCAGGACTAAGAGGGACTTTATCTAACAGGTGGAATCAGTGTAACCTAATCCTTTGTACCCTCAATGAATCTCAAGCAATCAAACATAAATAAAATAAAACAGGAAAAAAACCCCAAAACTTTTTTATGGTGGGGAGGGAGCCTGGTCAGCTTCCACCTGACAGATACAATGTAGGGGTATATGGCACACCTTTTGGGTGAAGTACTCAAATACAACTTGGATGCTACCTAACAAATATGACCAATAAACCCAATTGTATGTACCCTTAATACTAATCTAAAATTTAAAAGAAAAAAATTTATGGTTTTAACCTTCAAATATTTCTAAAATTTTTTTCTTTCTGCAGGTCTAGTTTTACTTAAGTGGGTTGAGTAGAATGAAACCAGATTTAATTCTTCAAATATTGCTAGAGTGTCTAATGTGTGTAGAAATTTCGGTTATGTATTATGGGCCAGGTGCTGTGGCTAACACCTAGAATTGTAGCGCTCTGGGAGGCCAAGGCTAAAGGATTGCTTGACATCAGGAGTTCAAGAGTAGCCTGAGCAAGATTGAGACCTCATCTCTAGAAAAAATTGGAAAATTAGCAAGTTGTGGTGGCATATACCTATAGTCCCAGCTACTTGGGAGGCTGAGGCAGGATAATTGCTTGAGCCCAGGGATTTGAGGTTGCAGTGAGCTATGATCATGCCACTGTACCGTACCCTGAGTGACACAGTGAGACCCTGTCTCAAAAAAAAAAGAAAGAAAGAAAGAAAAAAACAGAAAGCTACAAGAAATGATTACTTAAGAACCAGGGTTAGGGGCTGTGCCTGTGGCTCAGTGAGTAGGGTTCCGGCCCCATATACTGAGGGTGGTGGGTTCAAATCTAGCCCTGGCCAAACTGCAACAAAAAAATAGCCAAGTGCTATGGCGGGCGCCTGTAATCCCAGCTACTTGGGAGACTGAAGCAAGAGAATCGCCTAAGCCCAGGAGATGGAGGTTGCTGTGAGCTGTGATGGTACGGCACTCTACCAAGGGTTAATAAGTGAAACTATCTCAAAAAAAAAAAAAAAAAAAAAAAGAACCAGGGTTAGAAGAACCATGCTGTCTTTTATATAGAATGTGGTGGCAGCCCTTTCTTTAATATTTCATTTGAAAAATTGTTCCCTTATAACACAGATTTTCGGAGTAATGTCTTGGTAGAAATAGAGAGTTATAAATATTTTAAATGACATGCTTGGCGTTGAGATTATTTTTTATTGTTCTCTCTTTTGGGATTTGCCTGGTCACCACCTGATGTCTAATTAGGACAGTGACTTAAACAAAATGAACTGGAGTTTAGTTTCAGTTGGTACTTTATCTGGGAAATGATTTAACATCAGCTAGCTGGAACTGTAGGTCAAGGTACAAAAACAACTCTCAAATGTCAAATTAGAACCTAATGGTTAAGAAAAGCACTTCCATACCAACCATGTGTTTTGCCAAATATAATCTTTTTCAGATTTAAAACTGATGATTTATTATCTCTCCTAAAATATATGGAATGAAGGTTATCACAGAATGGGAAGACTGATCTTAAATCTGTTTTCCTATTACGCTTAGCACTAATAGGTAAGGATTGGCAGTATGCACAATGGCTAAGAGAGTCAACACTAGAAAATTATCTAGACTTGAATCCTGGCTCTGTCACTTCCTACCTGAATGACTTAGTTTCCTCCTAAAAAATAAGATAAAAGCAGTGTCTCCTTGGAAGGATGTAAGGATTAAGTGATGTACTTTATATCAGGGGTCCTCAAACTTTTTAAACAGGGGGCCAGTTCACTGTCCCTCAGACCGTTGGAGGGCCAGACTGCGCGGGATGAGTCGGCTGCTAAGCAGAGCAGGCAGCGGCGACAAAAACACCTGGCGGGCCGTATAAATGTTCTAAGCAGGCTGCATGTGGTCTGTGGGCTGTAGTTTGAGGACATCTGCTTTACATGTACAATGTGCTTAGCACTAGGCCTAGCACATAATAGGTACTTAATATATATTTTTGTCATTAATGTTATATATACTGCCGTCAACCTATTTAAATATACTGCTTAAAGATAGAGGATTTTGAGGATTTTGAGATAGATGATTTCAGCCTATTTAAATATACTGCTTAAAGATAGAGGATTTTGGGCGGCACCTGTGGCTTAAAGGAGTAGGGTGCTGGCCCCATATACCAGAGGTGGCAGGTTCAAACCCAGCCCTAGCCAAAAACTGCAAAAAAAAGAAAAAAAAGATAAAGGATTTCTGTTTGCTCAGAAATCCTCTATCATTTGTCTTTTTTTTTCTTTTTTAAATCATTAGCTCTCAAAACCTTACAAAAGGTTTATTTTCATAATGAATAATGAAAGTCTGTTTAATAGTTTTAAAACTATTAAAACTCTAATGCTTTTGTCCTGCAAGTTGTTATAATAGGAAGGTAGGAAATTAAAAGATTCTGTTTTCTCTTTCTTTATTGCTTTAATGAATTCATTCTCAGTTTCATCGTGGTCCTAGAAGAAACATATAAGAAAAGAGCCTGTAAAGATATGTGTTAAATATTCCAGAAAGTAATTTGCATAGATTTCTACTTACATGATTTTATGATGTTACTAACTATACCATTAGTCAAGTTATTTAATATCTCTCAGCCTCAGTTTTTTCATTTGTAAAATGGGAATAGTAGTTCCTTCTTTATCCACTTGTTAAAGGCATAAGTACATTTATAGCACTTGACTTTGTATCTGGCATGTAATAAGCAAATGCTAAATATTTGTAATAATAATACTATTACAGATTGGTAACTTTATTATCTATAAAATAATGGTGTCACTTTGGAAAGAAGAGAATGTAACATTTTACTGTATTGATTTCACAGTGATAATGATCTATGATTATGATAGCCACAAGCACCGAGTCACCAAGTAGAATATGTGTATGACTCCTGACTTATGATGTACCTTCCTACTTAAGTGTAGGATGTTGCTAGAATTTGTTGAGTAATACAACTATCTAAATAATCAGTGTTAATATAAAATTTTACATAGTTATCCTAAATATATTGATATATTTCTTTGTCATCTTATAAATTCTTATTGTGCCAGCATGGGTAATAAAGCCTTGTTTTTTCCAACTTTTCTTATTACTTCTGGTTCATAGTCCATAAACTTGTTTACTACTATTTTTTCTGGAATAACATTCTTTTCTTTTCTTTTTTAGTGAGATACATGTTTATTCAAACACAAGATACTCCAAATCCCAACAGTTTAAAGTTTATACCAGGAAAACCAGTTCTTGAGACAAGGACCATGGATTTTCCGAACCCAGCTACAGCGTTTCAATCCCCTCTGGCTAGGTATATTACTATTTTTATTTGCTTTTGCCAAGAAACATAAATAAAAACTGACTTGGAGTTAAGACATCCTTATTTGGCTTTTGTATTTATATGTGCATTTTATATACACTTTATATACACTTTATTAATTTTTTTGAGACAAGGTCTTACTCTGTCGCTGAGGCTAGAGTATAGTAGCCTCATCATAGTTAATTGCGTCCTCAAACTCCTGGGCTCAAAACATCCTCCTGCTTAGCTGTGCATTGTGGCGGACGCCTATAGTTCTAGCTACTTGGGAGACTGAGGCTGAGGTTTGAGGTTGCTGTGAGCTGTGACACTACGGCACTCCACTGAGGGCAGCATACTGAGCCTCTGTCTCAGAAAAAAAAAATAAGAAAAAAAAAGATCGTCCTCCCTCAGCCTCCTGAATAGCTGGGAGTATAGGCTTTCCCACCAAAAATTTTTCTATTTTTTTGTAGAAATAGATCTTATTCTTTCTTAGGCTGGTCTCAAACTCTTGGTCTCAGGGGATCTTCCCACCTCACCTTCCTAAAGTGCAGGGATTACAGATTTGAGCCTCTGAGCCTGGTTTACATATTTTTTTTAGTGTAGAGAATAATTTATTTTTTTTCTTGTAAGAGGTAAAGAAAATGAGTTTATAGTAGAAAACCTTTCTCCTGAAGAGTGATACATTTGAGAGCTCTGTACCATGAATAAATAAAAATTCATATTTTTACTTAAGGAAGAGAATTAATTAAATTGCTAATCATGGTAGATTTCCATTCCAAATCTTTAAAAATCTTATTTTTAAGGACAGTGAAAGCTTGCACATTTTATTTATAAAGATAATTGAATTTCTAGATGTTTCAAGATGGAATAATTCCTAAAATAGCCCACTTAGAACTATAAATGTTTATATTAATAGTATGATGTTTTTGGCTCGGCGCCTATAGCTCAACCGGCTAAGGCGCCAGCCACGTACACCTAAGGTGGCGGGTTCGAATCCCCAGCCCGGACCCGCCAAACAACAATGATGGCTGCAACCAAAAAATAGCCGGGCGTTGTGGCGGGCGCCTGTGGTCCCAGCTACTTGGGAGGCGGAGGCAGGAGACTCGCTTGAGCCCAGGAGTTGGAGGTTGCTGTGAGCTGTAATGCCATGGCACTCTGCCCAGGGGGACAGCTTGAGGCTCTGTCTCAAAAAAAAAAAAAAAAAATAGTATGATGTTTTTTACAACTAGTCAGTAGAAATAGTTTTTAAATTTACCGGATAAAGACATGTTTAAACATACAGTAGTCTCCATTTATCGTTTTCTGTAGTTTGAATTACCAATATCAACTTGGGTCCAAAAATATTAAATGGAAAATTACAGAAATAAACTTATTTTTATTTCAGAAATAAACTTATAAGTTTTAAGCTGTGCACCATTTTGAGTAGTGTGATGAAATCTCACTCTGTCCTGCCTTCTCCTGCCCATGATGTAACTCTTCCCTTTGTCCAGCATTTTTTTTTGCAGTTTTTGGCCAGGGCTGGGTTTGAACCCGCCACCTCTGGCATATGGGGCCAGTGCCCTACTCCTGTCCATCATATTTTTGCTACATACTTCTCAGTTATCAGATGTTGCAAAATCGCTGTGCATGTATTCATGTAACCCTTCAAGTGCAAGAGTAATGATGCTGGGTATTGTTATAATTGTTCTATTTTATTATAAATTATTGTTGTTAATCTCTTACTATGTCAGATTTGTAAGTTAAACTTTATTACAAGTATGCATATGTAGGAAAAAGTATAGTATATATAGTGTGATACTACCTGTGGTTTCAGGGATCCACTAGGGGTCTTGGAATATATACCCTCAAAATAAAGGAAAATCACTCTGGGTCAGAAATGATAAAGCACAGCTAGGTGCAGTGGCACAATTCTGTAATTCCAGCACTTTGAGAGGCTGAGATGGGAAGATAATTTGAGGCTAGGAGTTTGAGACCAGCCTGGGCAATGTAGTGAGAGTCTGTCTCTCAAAATTATTAAAAATCTCTCTAAATTATTAAACATTTAGCCAACCATGGTGGCACATGCCTGTAATTCTTACTACTTGGGATGCTGAGTCAGGAGGATTGCTAGAAAATGGGAGTTTGAAAGTTCAGTGAGCTGTGATCATGCCGCTGTACACCAGCCTAGGTAGGAACAGAGTGAGACCCTGTCTCTAAGAAAAACAAAAAGATAAAGAGCAAGTGATAAAATTGTTAGAAGGAACCTCTTTTTATCTGATAACTGGAGAAATTATTTGTAATAAGGATTATTAGAGTCAGCATCATTTGAATTTTTCTTTTTCCAGTTTTGGCTGGGGCTGGGTTTGAACCCGCCACCTCCAGTATATGGAGCCACAGGCGCCACCCCCATCATTTGAAATTTTTGGTAACCTAAGTCTGGTACTGCATACCAAAGATAATTAGAAAATAAAGTATAGGTAACTTTTTTTTTTTTTGAGACAGAGTGTCACTCTGTTGCCCTGAGTATAGTGCCATGGCTCACAGTAACCTCCACTAACTCTTGGGCTCAAGTGATCCTCCTGCCACCATGCCTGGCCTAAATAATTACTTCTATACACACAGCCATTTTGTATATCTCATTTAGGGGAGTTAGAAATTCATTAAACTCAGGAATAGTTTTTAAAATTCCTAATTAATATATACATTTTCTTTGACTTAAACATGGCAGTTCTTGAACTATACCTTAGAGCATTGGTTCTCAATCTTCCTAATGCTGTGATGTATTTTCATTGTTACAAAGGGGTCATGACCCACAGGTTGAGAACCACTGCCTTAGAGCATTTGTTTTTCACAGAATCTTCCTCTGGTCCCTGGGCTAGAGTGCCATGGTGTCATACTAGCTCACAGCAACCTCAAACTCCTGGGTTCAAGCAACCTTCCTGCCTCAGCCTCCCAAGTAGCTGGGTCTACAAGTGCCTGCCACAGCTTCCGGTTAGTTTTTCTATTTTTAGTAGAGATGAGGTCTGGCTCTTCCTCAGTCTGGTCTTAAACTCCTGAGTTCAAGTGATCCTCCCACCTCAAGCCTCCCAGAGTGCTAGAAAATTATAGGTGTGAGCCTTCATGCCTGGCTCTCATGTTTTTTGATAGCTACAGACTATAGATGGACTAAATTTATCTAATGTTTGCTATCAATGAATATTTTAGGTTGTTTCCAATTTACTACTTGTTTTATTTTACCAACAAGGTTACTCTGAATATCCCTGCATATACCTTGTATTTATGTGTTGGGTTCTCTAAAGTAGGATTTTTCTTTTCTTTTTTTTTTTTTTTTTTTGAGACAGAGCCTCAAGCTGTCCCCCTGGGCAGAGTGCCATGGCATTACAGCTCACAGCAACCTCCAACTCCTGGGCTCAAGCGAGTCTCCTGCCTCCGCCTCCCAAGTAGCTGGGACCACAGGCGCCCGCCACAACGCCCGGCTATTTTTTGGTTGCAGCCATCGTTGTTGTTTGGGGGTCCGGGCTGGGGATTCGAACCCGCCACCTTAGGTGTACGTGGCTGGCGCCTTAGCCGGTTGAGCTATAGGCGCCGAGCCTAAAGTAGGATTTTTCAAACACAACAGTGGATTGTGAAATCCATTTTGTAGTGATTAAGATATTATCTCATAAGATAAAAGAGAATGGAGGGACTCAGCGCCTATAGCTCACCAGCTAGGACATCAGCCACATACACTGGAGCTGTTGGGTTTGAACCCAACCCAGGCCTACCAAACAACAATGACAACTACAACCAAAATATAGCTGGGCACTGTGGCAGGCACCTGTACTCCCAACTACTTGGGAGGCTGAGGCAAGAGAATCACTTAAGCCCAAGAGTTTGAGGTTACTGTGAGCTGTGATGCCACAGCACTCTACCCAGGGCAACAAAGTGAGACTCTGTCTCAAAAACAAACAAACAAACAAACAGAATGGAGGCTGGGTGCCCTCTTGGGAGGCTGAGGTGCAAGGATCCCTTGCACTCAGGAGTTTGAGACCAGCCTAAGCAAGAGCAAGACTCAGTGAAAATAGAAAATAGAAAAGTTAGTCAGGCATGGTGGCACATGCCTCCCAGCTACTCACAAGAAGGTCACTTGAGCCCAGGAATTTGAGGTTGCTGTGGGCTATGAAGATACCACAGCACTCTACCCAGGGCAAGTGAGTGAGACTCTGACCCCTCCCCCTCACAAAAAGTATAAAACAGAATGGAATAACAAAGAGATGGAGAAAGGAAATATAAGAACGCATTACCTATCGTAAGGGTGAGGAATACCCATATTTACTATCATAGAAGGACATCTAAGACCATTAAGTGAAGTAAGCAAATTGTAGAACAGTGAATTTGATATACTATGTATATAAAAGCAAAAAGGACAAAACAAATGAATTGACATAAAGATCTAATCTGAAAGAATATATAACTGATAACAGGATTTGGGAAAGATTGTGGGGGACATTTAAACTATGTGTATTTTTTTTTTTTTTTGTAGAGACAGAGTCTCACTTTATCCACCTCCATAGATGGAGGCGTCACAGCTCACAGCAACCTCCAACTTCTGGGCTTAGGTGATTTTCTTGCCTCAGCCTCCAGAGTAGCTGTGACTACAAGTCCCTGCCAGAACGCCTGCGTATTTTTTTGTTGCAGTTTGGCCAGGGATGGGTTTGAACCCGCCATCTTTGGTATATGGGGCCTGTGCCCTACCCACTGAGCCACAGGTGCCGCCCTATGTGTTTTGCTTGAGATGCTTACATCAAGAATGAGTTGGCTTGGTGCCTGTAGCTCAAGCAGCTAACGCACCAGCCACATATACCAGAGCTGGCAGGTTCGAATCCATTCTGGACCAGCCAAACAACAATGACAACTACAACCAAAAAATAGCCAGGCGTTGTGGTGGGTGCCTGTAGTCCCAGCTACTTAGGAGGCTTAGGCAAGAGAATCACTTAAGCCCAGGAATTAGAGGTTGCTATGAGCTGTGATGCCATGGCACCCTACCCAGGGTGACATAGTGAGACTCTGTCTTTAAAAAAAAAAAAAAATGTGTTCACATATTTTGTATCTAATAAATGGAAAGGTATAAAAGCCTAATGAACTCAGTTATAGATTATTTTTATTATCTAAGAGATGTTTAGTTGGCGAAAGCCCTCTTCAAATTAGTCTTTTTTAATTGTGTCTCTTGTGGATTCACAACATTGATCTCCAGTCAAGCACAGCTATTGTTTTCTTTCTTGCGTTCATGGGGGATTTTTTACTGTAAGCTAGATAAGCTTCCTTAGGACAGAGACCTATTTCTCTATCATCATGTATACGTAGCGCTTAGTGAGTGTTTGGCTCTCAGTAGATGTCAAGATATTTGCTGAATGAATGTATGGGTGACTGATGATATGCATATACCACATTCTGTTTTTTCATTCACCAGTTGGTGGACATTTTCAGATTTTGGTGTGTGTGTGTGGCTATTACAAGTAAAGGTGTAAAGATTTATGTATGAGTCTTTGTGAAGCATATGTTTCCATTTCTCTTAGGCAAATACCTAGTTGTAGGATTGCTGGATTATTAGGTGAGAAAGTAAGACAGAATTGGCCATGAGTTGATAATTGTTGAAGCTGGTTATAGGTACATGGAGATTCTACTTTTCTCTCTACTTTTGTATATGTTTAACTTTTCCATTATAAAATATCTTACTATCTTTTTATTTTTTCTTTATTTACAGGCAGTTATTTAGGATTGAAGGTGTAAAAAGTGTCTTTTTTGGACCAGATTTTATCACTATCACAAAGGTAAACATATGATTATATAAAATAAGATTTGAAGTACCTTAGGTTTTTTCTTGAGTGTGATGCTCCTCTTCAGAATTTCCATTCTTTTTTTTTTTTTTTTTTGAGACAGAGCCTCAAGCTGTCCCCCTGGGCAGAGTGCCGTGGCATTACAGCTCACAGCAACCTCCAACTCCTAGGCTCAAGCGAGTCTCCTGCCTCCGCCTCCCAAGTAGCTGGGACCACAGGCGCCCGCCACAACGCCCGGCTATTTTTTGGTTGCAGCCGTCCTTGTTGTTTGGCGGGTCCCGGCTGGGGAGTCGAACCCGCCACCTTAGGTGTACATGGCTGGCGCCTTAGCCGGTTGAGCTATAGGTGCCGAGCCAGAATTTCCATTCTTAATATATTTTACATATATTATTGAAAATCTCAAATGAAGTTTACTTTTCTCATTTCTCAAATTAATTACTTAATTGAGTTTTCTAGTTAAAATTATAGTCAGATCTCTCATTTTTCTTTCCCTTTTTTTTGACAAAAGAAAAATGTATTTATATAAATTGGACTTAATCAAAATTTAAAACTTTTTGTGCTTCAAAGGATAACATGAAAACAGTGAAAAGACAGCCTACTAGTTGGGGGAAAATATTTGCACATTATATTGCAAAAGTTGATAAAGGACTTATGTTCAAAACATATAAAGAACTCTTATAATTCAACGTTAAAAAGACAAATAATCCCGTTTACAAAATGGACAAAGAAATTAAATAGGCATTTTTTAAAGATGTATTAATGGTCAAAAGCACATGAAAAGATGCTTAACATCATTAGTCACTAGGGAAATGCTAATCAAAACCACAATGAGATAACACTTCACATTCATGAGGGTGGCTGAGAATTTTTTTTATTGTTGGGGATTCACTGAGGGTACAAGAAACCAGGTTATACTGATTGCATTTGTTAAGTAAAGTCCCTCTTAATAATTGTATCTTGCCCCCAAAGGTGTGCCACACACCAAGACCCCACCCCCCTCCTTCCTTCTCTCTCTCTCTCTTCCTTTTCCCCACCTCTCCCTCCTTCTTTCTCTCTCTGCTCTCCCCTTCCCCCACCCCCACCATGTCATTAATTGTCCTCATATCAAAATTGAATACATAGAATTCATGCTTTTCCATTCTTGTGATGCTTTACTAAGAAGAATGTGTTCCAGTTCCATCCAGGTTAATACAAAGGCTATAAAGTCTCCATTTTTTTTAAATGGCTGAATAGTATTCCGTGGTGTACATATACCAACAGCTTGTTAATCCATTCCTGGGTTGGTGGGCATTTAGGCTGTTTCCACATTTTGGCGATTGTAAATTGAGCTGCAATAAACAGTCTAGTGCAAGTGACCTTATGATAAAAGGATTTTTTTCCTTCTGGGTAGATGCCTAGTAATGGGATTGCAGGATCAAACAGGAGGTCTAGGTTGAGTTCTTTGAGGTTTCTCCATACTTCCTTTCAAAAAGGTTGTATTAGTTTGCAGTCCCACCAGCAGTGTAAAAGTGTTCCCTTTTCTCCACATCCATGCCAGCATCTGTAGTTTTGAGTCTGGGGCCGTAGGCAATGCTTTTAAAGTCCTCTGCACTCTTGCCCAAGTTTTCCCATGGTAGTTCAGCTGAGTGCCAAGTCCAAAATAAACAAAACAGCTCACAGGTAAGGCCTTTGCAGTGTGCATTCTCACTGCTGCTGTACTTATAGCTGCTAGTGGGATTAGACTGAACGAACACATGCAACCACTTGCCAGTTCTCCACTACTTTTGCCCTCTTCATGGGGTCCAGAAGTCTCTTGCTGACTCTGTGACCTCAAAGGGATGTTTCTGGGCAGATCCCACCAGCCAGAGATGCTTAGAGTCTTCTCTCCCCAGGCTCACTGTGCCCAGTTGCAAAGAAGCTGTTACTTGGTTACCATCTTGCTCCTCCCTCAGCTCTCTCATTTTTCATTTGTTTTTTTTCCTAGTTTCAGATCTTGAGGTTTTTTTTTTTGAGACAGAGTCTCAAGCTATCCCCCTGGGTAGAGTGCCATGGCATCATGCTCACAGCAACCTCCAACTCCTGGGCTCAAGCGAGTCTCCTGCCTCTGCCTCCCAAGTAGCTGGGACCACAGGCGCCCGCCACAACTCCTGGCCATTTTTTGGTTGCAGCCATCATTGTTGTTTGGCGGGCCCAGGCTGGGGTTTTGAACCCGCCACCTTAGGTGTATGTGGCTGGCGCCTTAGCCGCTTGAGCCACAGGCGCCGAGCCAGATCTTGAGTTTTTAAATTTATTTTTATTATATTTTTTGAGACAAAGTCTCACTCTGTTACCCAGGATACAGTGCTATGGCATCATCATAGCTCATAGCATCCACAAACTCCTGTTTGTTTGTTTTTGAGACAGAGCCTCAAGCTGTCCCCCTGGGTAGAGTGCCGTGGCATCACAGCTCACAGCAACCTCCAACTCCTGGGCTCAAGGGAGTCTCCTGCCTCAGTCTCCCAAGTAGCTGGGACTACAGGCGCCGGCTATTTTTTGGTTGCAGCCATCATTGTTGTTTTGGCGGGCCTGGGCTGGATGCGAACCCACCACCGTAGGTGTATGTGGTTGGTGCCTTAGCCACTTGAGCTACAGGTGCCGAGCCACAAACTTCTGGTTTTAAGTAATCCTCCTGCCTCAGCTTCCCAAGTAGCTTGGACTACAGTGCATGCTACAACACCCATGCTACAACAATTTTTCTGTTTTTAGTAGAGGCAGGGTGTCACTCTGGCTCAGGTGGTCTTGAACTCCTGAGCTCAAGCAATCCACTTACCTTGGCATCCCAGAGCCACTGTGCCAGGCTGATCTCTCATTTTTTTAAAAGAAAAAACTTGAGGCTGGGCGCCCAAAGCTCATGGTTAGAGCACCAGTCCCATGCACTGGAGGTGGTGGGTTCAAACCTGGCCAGGGCCTGCTAAACAAACAAACAACCAAAAAAAAAAAAGAAGAAGAAGAAAAAGAAAAGAACTTGAGCTTCAAAGTGTTAAATGCAGTGTCTAAGATGATAGATCTAGTCTATAGCAAGACTTAACCTTGTGAAGACTACAATTCAGGCCTTCATATATTATTTTTGTTAATTCTTTAAATTATTAGAATAAAAAGGAAAGCAAATAAATATTATAAACAAACATAGATATATGACAGATGCCATGATATGCCTATTTTGAAAGGAGGTATGTATTCATTCATTCTGTGGAGATACGTATTTGGGGGGTGTGTGTATAACAAGTTACATGTATATGTACAAATTCCCTCGTCTAGCAATAATGCTTACATTGCTTAACAGATAAGATCAATGGACTGTGTAATTCTGTAGTACATTCTACAGTACTGTCACAAAATTTAAACTACCATCCAATAGTTGATTGAGAAAGTATCTGCTAGAAAAAGCTGTGATTATATCATATAGGGTTTTTTTCCCTTTTTCTTTCCTTCTTGATTTGATTTTGATAAATCATTTTGTATTTCCCTTTTCTTTCATTTTTTAGTTACTTTTTTGTTTGTTTTTTTGGTGTTTTGTTATCTCTAGGTAGGTAATATTAGTTATCCTTTTTGAAATTGACCTAGTTCTACAATTTCTTCTTAAGTGAAATGATACAATCAATAGATAATATTTCAAGTTAGGGTATACATTGATACTTAGTAGACATAATAGTGAATTTGATTTCTTTCAACCTATCATCATGGGCTGTCATATTTACTGAACATGTTCAGCAATTTCCTATTTCTCTTTCTGGTTTGTAATTGAAGGTTCATAGGTTTCTTCATATATCATTTGTGATTTTTTTCTAACTGTACTAATATATATGTATTTGCAGCTTATCTGCTGTTTTTTTGTTGTTTTTATTAGGACAAATTGAGAATGTTTTCTTCTATTTATTAGGTACTTAGTAGAACCTATCATTTGCTGATGATTGAGGTGGGCTTCTGATCTGTCTTCCAACTAATTTATTAAAATACTACATAGGCAAGGCCAGGTATGGTGGTTCATGCCTATAATCCCAGCACTCTGGGTGCCCGAGGCAGGTAGATTACTTGAGCTCAGGAGTTGGAGAGCAGAACTGAGCAAGAGTGAGACCCCATCTATACTAAAAATAAAAAAAGTGAGGCAAGAGGATCACTTGAGCCCAAGAACTTGAGGTTGCTATGAGCCATAATGCCCTGGCACTGTAGTCAGGGCGCTAGAGTGAGATTCTGTCTCAATAAAATAAAAAAAAATATATATATATTACATAGGCAACAAATATATATATTACATAAGACTAGTTTCCTTTCACAATTACTAATACATCTCATTAATTTTACTTTTATATATGTAATAGTTTCAGTTTAGCTTACCTTTTGTGTATTATCTCTGAATTGGTTCTTAACGCACAACAAAAATAGTCCCTTTTAGCCATGCTGACTCAATTTTTGTTTTTTAGATTTTATTTATTTTTTTTGAGACAGAGTCTCACTTTGTTGCCCTAGGTCGAGTGTCATGGCATCACAGCTCACAGCAAACTCAAACTCGTGGGCTTAAGTGATTCTCTTGCCTCAGCCTCCCAAGTAGCTGGGACTGCAGGCGCCTGCCACAATGCCTGGCTACTTTTTTGGTTGGAGTTGTTATTGTTGTTTAGCAGTTCTGGGCCGGGCTCAAACCAGCTGGCACCCTACTCACTGAGCTACGGGTGCCGAGCCGCTGACTCAATTTTTAATAGTACTTAAGCATAGTGTCTAGCTAATAGCACCCTGGGAGTCAGCAAATGGTTATTCCAACCAAGGAACTTTATAACATACGTAGTCCCAACTACTTGGGAGGCTGAGGCAAGAGAATTGCTTAAGCCTAGGAACTGGAGGTTGCTGTGACCTGTGTGATGCCATGGCACTATCAAGGACCATAAAGTAAGACTCTGTGTCTACAAAAAAACCCCCCAAAACAAACAAAACAAACCTTTATACAGCATGAGCCAAGAGCAAGACCCCATCTCTAAAAAATTAGCCTGGCATTGTGGCAGTTTCCTGTAGTCCGAGCTACTTGGGAGGCTGAGACAGGAGGATTCACTTGAGCCCAAGAGTTTGAGGTTGCTGTGGACTATGATGCCAGGGAACTCTACCAAGAGTCACAACATAAGAATCTGTCTTCAAAAATAAATAATTAGGCTCAGCGCCTGTGGCTCAAGTGGCCAAGGCGCCAGCCACGTACACCCAAGGTGGTGGGTTCTAATCCAGCCTGGGCCCACCAAACAAAAACGGCTGCAACCAAAAAAAATAGCCGGGCATTGTGGCAGGCACCTGTGGTCCCAGCTACTTGGGAGGCAGAGGCAGGAGACTCGCTTGAGCCCAGGAGTTGGAGGTTGCTGTGAGCTGTGATGCCATTGCACTCTACCCAGGGGGACAGCTTGAGGCTCTGTCTCAAAAAAAAAAAAAAAATTAAACCTTTATAAAAACAAAACATGCTACCTTTCTCTTTCTAGATATTGATATTACTGGGGTGTTTAATAATTCTACCCTTTTATTTATGGAAATACTAGTAAGTTGTTGGGCAGGTATGTAGGTAAAATAGTTATAGAATTGTTCTTAAGAATGCCAGTCTTATTGATAGTTCATAAGTCCTCTAGTAAAGTAGCCATGGTTCTACAGTGGCATCATTGAATTTCTTCAATACTTTTTAAGTAATATATGTAAGTTGAATTTCTTGAATAGTTGTGGGAAGTCTTTTTTTTTTGGTTGCAGCCATCATTGTTGTTTGGTGGGCCCGGGCTGGATTCGAACCTGCCACCTTGGGTGTACATGGCTGGTGCCTTAGCCACTTGAGCCACAGGCGCCGAGCCGGAAAGTCCTATTTATTTGATCAAGCAGTTATATCTTATTAAGAGAATTAGAATCTCTTTATATTTCCTCTGTAAAGAGAAAATTCATTTACTATTTTAACTCTCTTTACATCATGAAAATACATTTTTAGCTGGACGTGGTGGCTCACGCCTGTTATCTTAGCACTCTGGGAGGCTGAGGTGAGAGGATCACTTGATTTCAAGGAGTTTGAGACTAGTGTGAGCAAAAGCAGGACCCTATCTCTACTAAAAATAGAAAAATTGGGGGATGGGTGGAGGGAGGGTGATTAGAGGGATCACTTCTATGGTTTAGAAGGGTACAAGTGAATCTTTCTAGGAGTAGAATATAAATGTCTTAACACAATAACTGAGAGAATGACATAAAGGCTATGTGGCCAGTTTGTTGAAAATATTTCAAATTGTATGTGAAAACACAACGCTGTATCCCATGATTGTATTGATGTACATAGCTATCATTTAATTAAAAAAAAAGAAAAGAAAAAAAACAAACAAAAAAAATAGAAAAATTAGTCAGGCATAATGACATGCACCTCTAGTCACAGCTATTCAGGAGGCCGAGGCAGGAGGATTGCTCGGTACCCAGGAGTTTGAGATTCCTGTGAGCTAGGCTGACACCAAGGCACTCTAGCCTGGGGCAACAGAATGAGATTCTGCCTCAGGGGAAAAAAAAAGGAGTTGGCACTACCCATAAAACGAAAAAAAACCAGTATTTTTCTGGGGTATAGTAGACTCTTTTAGCTTGCTGCATCCACATATGAGTAGACATTGTCACTTCATGGAATGCATTGCACCTAAATCCCCTCTGTAGTTTTGGGAAATCCCTGCTTGAGTCTTTCTGGGAGGCAGCCAGATTTCTTTCCACCTATTTTTCAAGTTTGGTTCTCTAGCCTTCCTAGTGAGTCTTAGTGCTACTCAATATCCTTGAATTCCTTAAATAAATTCCTTTTCTACTTAAAAAACAAATATTTTGATTGTTATCCCCTAGACAAAGTATGGTACACTTAATAAAAATTTGATGAGTGAATGAATGGAGAATGTCCTAAGATTTTATCTTGTGAAAGTCATTTAAGCAAGACCCTTTAAGATTGAGAAATGGCCTTGTGAGGTGGCTCACAGCTGTAATCCTAGCACTCTGGGAGGCTGAGGCAGGTAGATTGCTTGAGCTCAGGAGTTGGAGACCAGCCTAAGCAAGAGCGAGACCCCATCTGTACTAAAAATAGAAAAACTGAGACAAAAGGATCGCTTGAGCCTAAGAACTTGAGGTTGTTGTGAGCTATAATGACCTGGCACTCTACTCAGGGCACTAGAGTGAGACTCTTGTCTGAAAAAAAAAAAAAAGATTTAGAACTGACATGTATTTTCCAGAAATGGATGCTATTGCTTAGTACTTGTGTAGGATAAATATAGGAAAAGATGCTTGAAAGATGATGAGGTAGTATTCTGTATTTGTTTTTGCCTTTGGATTGAAATGTAGCGGTTTCCTTCAAATTCTTATAGGAAAATGAAGAATTAGACTGGAATTTACTGAAACCAGATATTTATGCAACAATCATGGACTTCTATGCATCTGGCTTACCCATAGTAACCGAGGAAGCACCTTCAGGAGAAGCAGGTAACAGGTTGTATTGACTAATCAATATTGTCTTTTTTTAGACTTTTTTACTTTCTTCAAATTTGTTTAATTTCAGAAGTCATAGGAATATAGATTTTTTTTATCATTTAATATATTTAGCTCTGAATCCAATTTCAGAGAGGATAAAACTTCATATACTGTGTTAATCTCATTTTTGAAATGAATATAAACTGAATTTACTATGCAAAACTTTTGTTTATTATTATTACTATTATTTTGAGACAGAGTCTCACTCTGTTGGCCTGGGTATAGTGCTGTGGTATCAGTTTAACTTACAGCAACCTCAAACCCTTTGGACTCAGCAATCCTCATGCCTCAGCTTCTTGACTAGCTGGGACAACACGCTCCCACTACAACACTCAGCTAACTTTTCTATTTTTAGTGGAAATGGGGTATCACTTTTGCTCAGGGTGTTCTCAGACTCCTGAGCTTGATCAATGTACCTGTCTCAGCCTTCCTGAGTGCTAGGATTATAGGGATGAGCCACCATGCCCAGCCTAAAACTCTTTTTTTTTGAGACAGAGTCTCACTTTGTTCCCCTCAATAGAGTACTGTGGTGCCATAGCTCATAGCAACCTCCAAGTCCTAGGCTCAAGAGATCCTCTTGCCTCAGTTTTTCTATTTTTAGTAGAAATGGAAGCTCTCATTTTTGCTCAGGCTGGTCTTGAACTCATGAGCTCAAGCACCTCGGCCTCCCAGAATGCTAGGATTATAGGCATGAGCCACCGCACCCAGCCTAAAACTCATTGTTTAATTATAAAAATTTTCAAACATGTTGGGCAGTACCTGTGGCTCAAAGGAGTAGGGCACCAGCCCCATATACCAGAGGAGGTGGGTTCAAACCTGGCCAAAAACTGCAAAAAAAAAAAAAATTTCAAACATGTCAAATATAATGCTCATCAATTTGCCCTCCCCTCAAATGTAATAAATGTTGACTTTTTGCACGGTTGCTTCAGACCCATGTTTTAAAATAAAATATTAAAGATACAGCTAAATCTCCTATAACACCATCCATTTCCACTTCCAGGGAAGTGTGTAAATTTGTTTCGTTCTTTAGAGACAGGGTCTTGCTCTGTCTCCCAGGCTAAGAGTACAGTGGCATGATTAAAGCTCTCTGTAACCTCAAACTTCTGGGCTCATTTAATCCTCCCAGCTTAGCCTCCTGAGTAGCTGAGACTACAGGTGTGTGCCACTGCACCAAGCTAATTTTTGTATATTGCTCTTCTGTCAGCTTTAACACTCTATACTCATATACTCTATACTCTACACTCATTTACTATAGTAAATGTTTAATTAATTCTAATAATTGGTCAATTACACATTTACTATAAAAACTGAATGTTTATATGTGCACACTCTCTTATTAGCAAACATTTGCATCATCATCTTTAGATGATACAGTTGTACTTCTAAGTATTTATCCTAAAAGAGACTTACAGATGTGTACAAGGCAACATTTAGAAATATGTTCATTGAAATGTTTCTTAACCAACAGATAAAAGGAATAAACTAGATTGAGAGTTATCAATATAAAAGATAGAAAAGAAAATAACAAATGAAAAAGGAAAATTGAAGTATATATGCATTTATAAGTGTACCATTCACCTTTTTAATAACACATGAACCAATTATATATGCTCTTGACGGATACATGTGTAAAATTATTGTAACTTTTTGAGAGTAATTTGACTATAGCTACCAAAATCAAAAATACACAAACCTTTTGATACAAATACCTTACCACTAGGAATTTATTTTATAAATATATTTGCAAAGATACACTGATAAATGTTTGTATAGGCAAATATGTTGCTGGATTGTTACAAGTAGCTGCAAACTGTAAACAATTAAAATAATCAAGAAACTGGGTAAAGGCAAATCTATACAAAAGTTAATACATATCTGTTTTAAACATTGAGGCATATCTGTGGAGGTGATAACAAAAGACCTTCACGATAAATTATATAGGAAAAAGTAAGGTATAAAATAGTGTGTATAGCATGGTCTCATTTGTATAAATTTATACATGTAAATGTAAACATGTATTAGAAAGATATATACTAAACTCATGAAAGTGTTTTCTTTCAGAGGGATGGCGGGAAATGGGACTTAGGTATGCTGATCTAAGAAAATTTTAGCTTTTTAATGTTTTATTTCTTTTATTTAAAAAATTCAAAGTTAATTTAATATTAATAGTGGTTATTTATGGAGTTCCCAGAGTCTAGTGTATGTTATAGAATAATTAGAACTCGCTGCATTTTTAATTTTCCCAGTGGTAAATAATTTTTTCAAAAAACCCCAAACTCATAGAAAGGCAAAGATGTATATAACTTGGAAAGTAAAGCAAAAACAAAAATGAAATAAAATGAAAAACTAACTTTTTGTTCAGAAGACTCGTAGAACATTTTAGAAATTTCCAGGTGGTTTACGTCTGTTTAGTATGATTGTTTTCTTGAAAACCACTAAAATAAGAAATTAAAGATGTAACTTAACTTACAAAGTAGCTATGCCTCTTTGTCTCAAAGTTTCCATCAAAATTCAGTCTTTTTTCTCCGCCATTTTTTAATCCTTGAGAACAATGACAGTTTACAAATTTACTGGCTAAAATTTTCAGTGCCTAACATGATTAGTAGTATATTGAGGTATTTCAATATGTTCATGTTTGTCACTAAGTGTTATCCGGTATTTCTTAATGTTTCTTCAATGAACCAAATGTATGATTATCCATTTTCCCAAAATACATCCCCATACCAAGTTATATGTTCTGTGCTTTTATGTTTTTATTGAGCCATGAATATAAAACTATTCTGTTTAAATACTTGCATAGACATAAAATTTCTACTATTGATATTTTGTATGTGTAATTATTTGTAGGATCTGAAGAAGATGATGAAGTTGTGGCAATGATTAAGGAATTGTTAGATACTAGAATACGGTATGTGCTGCTTTCTCTAACTGAAATCAAATGCTGCCGAGGCAATTTTCATTATAATAGTGTATTTTTTTTTTTTTTTTTTTTATAAAGACAGAGACTGTCTTTGTCATCCAGGTTAGAGTGCAGTGGTATCATCATAGCTCTCTGCAACCTCAAACTCATGAGCTCAAGTGATCCTTCTGGTTCAGCCTCCTGAGTAGCTGGGTCTATAGGCATGTACCACCTTGCCTGGCTAATTTTTCTGGGGTTTTTTTTTTTTTTTGTAGAAATGGGGTCTTGTTTTTGTGTAGGCTGATCTCAAACGATATATACTGGCCTCAAGCGGTCCTCCTTGACCTCAGCCTCCAAAGTGCAATTGCCTTTAGTTGTCTCATTATAGCAGTATGCCTTTAGTTTTCTGTGAGATTATATGTGTAGTAGAGTTTCAAAATAAGTACAAGTTAGTGAAAATAGAAAATTGCTGAGAAAGTAGATTTTTTTTTTTGAGACAGAGTCTCACTTTGTCACCCTCAGTAGAGTGCTGTGGCATTACACCTCACAGCAACCTCAAACTCTTAGGCTTAAGCAGTTCTCTTGCCTCAGCCTCCCAAGTAGCTGGGACTATAGGTGCTCGCCACAACACCTGGCTATTTTTAGAGATGGGGTCTTGGCTGGGCATGTTGGCTCACTCTTGTAATCCTAGCACTCTGAGAGGCTGAGGTGGGTGGATTTCCTGAACTCACTGGTTTAAGACCAGCCTGAGCAAGAGTGAGACCCTGTCTCTAAAAAAATAAAAAGCCGAGTGTTGTGGCGGGGCACCTATAGTCCCAGCTACTTGGGAGGCTGAGGCAAGAGAATCACTCAAGCCCAAGAGTTTGAGGTTTCTGTGAGCTATGATGCCATGACACTTTACCAAGGGTGACAAAGTGAGACTTTGTCTCCAAAAAAAAAAAGAGATGAGGTCCTTGCTCTGGCTCAGGCTGGTCTCAAACTTGTGAGCTTACCCACCTTGGCCTCTGAGAGTACTAGGATTACAGTTGTGATTGAGAGAGAGTAAATTTTAATTGTTCTTACAATTTAGCCATTTCACAGTGAATAAATATATAATTTTTAATTGTCAATTAAAATACATTAGGACCAGGCCTGGCTCAGGGGTTCACACCTATAATCCTAGCATTCTGGGAGGCTAAGGCAAGTGGATTGCCTGAGTTGAGGAATTCAAGACCAGTCTGAGCAAGAAAGACACCATCTTTGAAAACAGCTAGGTGTTGTGGCGGGTGCCTGTAGTCCTAGCTACTTAGAAGGCTGAGGCAAGAGGATGGCTTGAGCCCAAGAGTTTGAGGTTGCTGTGAGCTGTGATGCTATGACACTGTACCCAGGGTGAAAAGTGAGACTCTGTCTCAAAAAAGCCCCCGACAAAATACAATAGAACCTTCATAGTTAACCACCTCCCTATATTGACCTCCTTAAGTTGACCTGGACCAGACATGCACCACATGAACTCAATGGAAGACTCACTTCTTTATATTGACCACCTCTGTAAGTTGTATCCACTTGGACTGTGACTCACAATATTAATTTATCCTTTATAACTTGGCTAGTTGAGTCCAGACTACTTTAAGGGGTAGGCAGTGTGGCCTTTGCCTTTTAATTGTATTACTTTTTTTTAGTATAAGTTCTTTTTTCATGTTTTATTAACACATGTTAGATTAGGCCTAAATTCCTATTGTTTATCACTTGTTCTTGAAGATTTTTTCAATGTGAAGGACTGGTCTGAAATGTAGGTACTTCCTAAATTACTGAAACATTTTACAGTTAATTAAGACATGGAGGAACACAAAGAGCTGCCATTGAAGGGAAAGGTTGATTTACATTTTCTGGAAACAACGGCCAAAGAAAGATGGTGGAACATTCTGATATTAGCAAGACCACGGTTAGCAACATCCAAAAATGTAAACATGAGTACTTGGAGAGATATGGTAAGAAGCAGAGACCTATGGGGGAAAACTAGGAAAACTTCCCTTGATGAAGTCAATGAAGCCATGCTAAGCTCTCAAACAAATGAGGGCAGTCAGTGCTTGAATCTTTCAATGTTGCTAAAAAATGTGCACAGGAATTCAGAGTGGCAGATTTCCAAGTATCTGGTGTTTGGCTTGAGAAATTTAAACTGTGACATAGATCTCCAGAATTCTTTTGTTGTTGTTGAGATAGTTACCCTGGGTAGAGTGCTGTGGTGTCATAGCTCACAGCAGCCTCCAACTTGGGCTCAAGCGATTCTCTTGCCTCAGTTTTTCTGTTTTTCATAGAGACAGGGTCTCGCTTTTGCTCAGGCTGGTTTTGAACTCGTGAGCTCAAAACCTGCGTTGGCCTCTCAAAGTGCTAGGATTACAGGCATGCGCCACCAGGTCTGGCCTCCCAGGAAATCCTGTGTGGGGAATCTAATGAACGTTCCAGTAGAAGTTGTGGAAGAGTTCATTAAAAAGTTCCTGGATTTTATAAGGAGCTCCAAAGATGACGACATCTTTAATGCTATAGAGTGTAGACTTTGTCAAGGCGTTGCCTTGTCATGGAGTGTGACAGATAGAAGAGTGGAAAACTTTTCAAAGAATGTTTCACAGTTCTGCTTTGCTCTAGCTCATTGGAAGAGATACTCAAGCCCTTGGTGATTAGCAAAGCCATACACGTTTAAGAACCGAAAGCCTGAAGACCTCCTCATCACTTAGAGATCAAACATATGTGTATGGATAACTGGTGCCTTATTTCAGGAGTGGGTAAAGGGAATCCACCAAGAAATGAAGAAGAAATGGTCTGTTCTGCCGACAGTGAACAATTGTGCTGGCCACCCGCAGGTGAATCATTTCACAAACATGGCAGCAAAGTTTCTGCTTCCCAGCACCTCAAAAATCCAACGTCTTGACCAAGGCATCATCAGAACATTTAAAATGTATTACTGAGCCCAAATAGGTCATAAGCAAAACACAAAGCTGTGGTCCTTCTGTGGAAGCAACTTCATCCACTGCATCAGTTAATACTCTGGATGTTGTCTTCTGTATCATTCTGCTTGGAATAAAGTTCAGCCGGAAACAATACAGAAGTGTTCCAAGAAAGTTTGATTTGTCACAACCCAAGAGCACTATGTTTGGGGCCCATCAGACAGTCCCATCTCCCATGGCAGAATTTGAAGGAATAGATTTTCAAGGTTTTGTTGCAGTGGATGGTGAGGTGGCACCCTGTAATGAACCTGACACAGAAGCAATTTTTTAAGCAATAGTGACTAAAGTACAGACCAACTTCAGAGTGCTTGAAGCAGCTAATGAAATGGAGAAACCTAAGTGAGGATGACATAGAAATTGCAGAGACTACAAAAGAAGAGGATGTCAGTTGATTTAAACTCTTTTTTTTTTGAGACAGAGCCTCAAGCTATCCCCTTGGGTAGAGTGCCATGATATCACGCTCACAGCAACCTCCAACTTCTGGGCTCAAGCGAGTCTCCTGCCTCAGCCTCCCAAGTAGCTGGGACTACAGGCGCCCACCACAACGCCTGGCCATTTTTT